GTTTGCAGCAAAGATCCTCAGAGGTGAAATGCAGGATTGAAGACAAAATGGAGGGTTACCAGGGCCTTTTATATTTTCTGCTATGTGGAAGAAATCCCATGGATCTTGCTGTGAAAAAATACAGGCGTTGGAAACATGGTACAAGCAATTTCCAGTAAGGGAGTCTTCCTTCTCATCACTGGACGAGGCTCTGGCCGACCCCACACCTCCCATGCCCACGATGGATGCCAGGGCACACCAAGACCATCTCTGCTGGTTTGCAGCAAATTAAGGGGTACAAGTAGAGGAGGCCCCAGAAGACTCAGACCCCATGGTGGACATATTGACGGCGGATGCTGCCACCAGAGTCACTCAACAAGATGGTGGCAAAAATTTCAATAACTCTGTGGCAGACACCTGCCTCGATACCACCTACCCAAAATGAGAGGAAAGGCACAACTTTGTCCCTCAGTCAGGACATGAACACCTCTGTGCACCCAGCCCCAGGCTCCCTGGTGGTCCAAGTGGCTGGCCAAAAAAAGAGGCAGCGTCCACCCAGGAGCGGAAGAGCAGGGACCTGAAAAAGCTGGACCCACGATACAATTATAACACTCGGTCTGCCATAGATAAGTTTAAAGACCTCCTTCTGCAGGAGTCCAGACAAGAGTTTGGGACAAGAGTTTGGGAGCTTGTCCGAAGAGGGCAAGATAGTCTCACATACGCCGTTGTAGGTGGCCTTGTGTGCTGCAGACTCTGCGGCCTGTACGGTGGCTACGGCACTTGTTATGAGGTGAAGTGCATGGCTTCAGGTGTCTGGTATTCCACCTGAGGTCCAAAATGCTTTGCAGGACCTCCCATGTCAAGGGCCTGGTCTTTTTTTGGACCAGACAGATTCGAGACTTCATAGCCTTAAAGACTCCAGAGCTACCTTGAAGTCTCTGGGTATTCAGGTCGCAGTGCCGCAGAGGAGCCCCTGCTCCCTAGGCCAGCCTTGAGAACCTTCCAGCAGGGCTGAGCAGAGCAGAAGGAGGGGTAGGAATATCAATAACAATGACAGCAGAAACAGGTGCAGGGGGTCAAGGTCGGACTCTGACAGGGGGTCCGCCCCGCTTCCTAATCATCGGCCTTTGGTAGAGCTGTGTTGCAGTCCGTTGCAAATAAGCCTCCGACCCCGCCACCTGTGCTACTGCTAGGGAGTCACCTACCTGGAATGGACGTGAGCAAGCACTTGAAGAAGAAAGAACGGTTCCTTACCTCGTAACTGCTGTTCTTCGAGATGTGTTGCTCATGTCCAGTTCAAATCCCACCCGCCTCTCCTTCATCAGGGGACTGAGGGGGTATATGCACTGATATACTGGTGCCACTCTAGGGGGTTCCATGGCTGGCCTGATGGATATTGCTAAGGGAAAAAGGCTCCAGGATTCATGCATGCCATGTGCACACACCTAACTGGAATGGACACGAGCAAGACATCTTGAAGAACAAACGTGACGAGATAAGGAACCGTTTTTTCAAACCTCACACCTTGCACCGGGCTCCCACTCTCTCCTATAAATGGAGAGGAGCGCAGGGATAATTTGGGCCGCCCCGCTTTGGGATCAGATCCCCCTAGTTTTGGCGGGGGGTCAGGAGGGAGTGAATTAAAATGCTCACGTTATGCAAATTCCTACCAGAACCAAGCAGCTATTTACGGTGCTGCAGTCAGCTCCCTTTGGGGCGGATCCTCTTTGGCTCCCAGAATCCCGGCCATTTGCACAGCGGCAATTCACCCAGCTGTGCTATGGCCTGAACAGTGCCAGCGGCTTGTCACCTGGGGCAATTAAGAACCGTGGTGGCTGGTACTAGAGGGGTGTCTGTGCAGGCGGACGGAGACAGATAGATTGTCTGGGTTGAGCTGCACCTTCTTTGGAGGCGTAAGAACATAGGAATGGCCGATCTGGGTCACCAATGGTCTAGTTAGCCCAGTGTCCTGTCTGCTGACTGTGGCCAAGGCCAGGTGCTGCAGAGGGAATGAACAGAACAGGTAACCATCAATTGATCCATCCCCTATCGCCCATTCCCAGCTCCTGGTAGAGGCTAGGGACACCATCCCGGCCTGTCCTACCCCCTACCTATCCTGTTAGCCAAATCTTTATCAAACCCTGGTATAGTCTTAGCCTTTACAACATCTTCTGGCAAGGAGTTCTACAGGTTGACTGTGCGTGGTCTGGTGTGTTCCTTTCGTTTGTTTTAAAACTGCTACCTATTATTTTTGTATGGTGGCCCCAACTTACTGAGTTATGAGAAGGCGTAAATAACACTTGGAATTTTTCAATCAAAGAAGAGTAGGGCTGGAAGAGATCTCAGGCGGTATCTAGTCCAACCCAAGCTCAAAGCAGGAGCAACTCCAACTAAATCATCAAAGCCAGGGCTTTGTCAAGTTGGGCCTTAAAAACCTCTAAAATGGAGATTTCACCCCCTCTCCCAGTTATCCTCTCAGTGAAACAGTTTTTTCCTAATATCCAACCTAGACCTCTCTCACTGCAACTTAGAATCATAGAATCACAAAATCATAGGGCTGGAAGAAACCTCAGGAGGTCATCGAAATCATTGCTCCTTGTTCTGTCATCTGCTTCCACTGACACCAGCCTCGCTTCATCCTATTTGGAATTCCCCTTCATGTAGTTGAAGGCTGCTATCAAATCCCTAAATAAGCCCATTTCACTCATCATAAATCAAGTGCCCAGCTAATCATTTTCATTACCCTCCATTGGACTATTGCCAATGTGTCCACATCCTTTCTGTAGTGGGGGACCCAAAACTAGACACAATGCTTCAAATGTGGCCTCATCAGTGCCAATCAGGGGGAATAATCACATCCCTCAATCTGCTGGCACTGCTCCGGTTAATGCCATTAGCCTACTTGGCAACAAGGGCCCACTGCTGATTCATATCCTGCTTCTTTCTGCTGTAACCCCCAGGTCCTTTTCTGCAGAACTGCCACTTAGCTAGTTGGTCCCCAGGCTGTAGCAGCGCTTGGGAATCTTCCATCCCACATGCAGCACGCTGCACTTGTCCTTGTTGAACCTCATCAGATTTCTCTTGGCTCAATCCTCCAATTTTAGGTCACTGGACCCTGTCCCTGCCCCCCAGCTTTGTATCATCTGTGACCATGCTGAGGGTGCAAGCCATCCCATCAGCTAGATCAGGGCTACTCAACACACGGCCTGCAGCCTGCATGGGCCTGTGGCGCATTTGTTTGTGGCCCGCAGTGCGGTTTGGGTTTAAACAGGCCTGCAGGTGGGATCCTTTGAACATGGCCTCCACTGGGAACACGCTCCACAATGGCGAGGCGTCTCCCAGGTGGGGTGAGCACTGAAAGACACAAGCGGACGGGCAGGCTGGAACAGGCAGGTACAGGGTGTCAGCATTTCTAGACACCAGAAAGGAGGTGCCAGGAGCACCGGGGCATTGTGGGAAGTGCTTTGTATTCATGCCCGTCAGTGTGAAAGAAGTTATTTGCATGTATGTGCAACCACCCTTAAGTTGCGGTCCTTGATGTGAGTATCATTGTGGCTTCTAAAGTTGAGTAGGCCTGATCTAGATCATCCCTGAGAGGTGCTTGTCTAATCTGCTCTTAAAAATCTGCAATGAAGGAGATTCCACAGCCTCCCCAAGCAATTTATTCCAGTGTTTAACTTTTGGGTCCAGTGCCGCGGCTTAAGCCTTAATCTTTGTATTCGTGCCTATCAGTGTGAAAGAAGCGATTTGCATATATTTGCATATATATTTGCATGTATATGCAACCACAATTAAGTTGTGGCCCTTGGCATGTGCTGCAAGTACCATTGTGGCCGCTGCGGCTTCCAAAGTCCAGTAGCCCTGATCTAGATCATGAATGAAGATGTTGAACAAAACTTGGCCACTCTGCTTGAAACCAGCTGACAACTAGACATTGAGCCATTGATCTCTGCCAGTTGAGCCCAATAATCTAGCCAGTTTTCTGTCCCCAGTACTCAAGATGTGCGTATTCAAGATGTGGATTTCTATAGAGGAAATAGCATATTTTCTGATAAAATGATGAGGGCTAAATTAGCTGTTACCAGTGGAGGCCTTGGAGTCATGGTGGGGAGTTCCCTGCAAATCCCCAGGCAGTGCACAGCAGCTGTCAATAAAACAAGCAAAATGTTGGGAATCCTTAAGTAAGGGACAGAGAATCTCTAGATCGGCAGGCCGATGCTGATCCCTTTTGGATAGCTCAGGACTTCTGATCTGGGGAGAAGACACCCTCTGCAAGAGGACTCTGAAAAACGACACATGACAAATTAAATGAATTCTTCTGATTGCAATTCGCAGCCGGAGTCCTTTCTGAATCTAAGGCTGTAGTGGAGTGGGAATTGCCCATGCTGTTTTGTGTGAATATTGTGTGTGCCTCAGTTTCCCCTAAGTGATGCATGGTTAATTAGGCAGCGGGAAAATGTTGTTTGCACTTTACAGAGACCCAGCGATACCGGCATGACTGATGCCTGGCCATTTTGGAACCTGGGCCCCCATGTCCATGGGGAGTCCAAGAAGATAATATCACCAAGTGCCCAGGTGGGGCCCAATATGGGCATTAATGGTGGGCTGCAGGCTGCAGGAGATTCTCCTGTCCGGGGACTAAGGAGGAGTCAGGGGTCTCTGTGCTCTGGTCTGACCGAGATGTAACTTTCTGGTCTCTGTGCTAACTTCCGCCTTGGCTTCATCAGGACTGTTCAATTCCACCACCTAAGTCAACACTCCGCTCGCTGCAGCTTGCAAACAGTCTGCGATAATGCAGTGATGTCTGACCTGCCATGTGTTATTGCATCAACACGGAGTTTCTTGGCTGGCTGGCCGAGGAAGGTCAATGAATGGAGGCAGTTGCAACATGAACTCGGTTTGACCCTGTTTATCATTTTCATTGGAAAGCTTCTCCCCAGCCCCTGGGCGGAGTGCTGGGACTGTTCCGGTGTTTGCTTTGATTGATTGGCTCCCTTCCCTTTAAAAGGTTCACTTTGGGTTTGGCCCGTCAGAGGAACAGTCTCGCTGGTCAGAAGCGTTGGCTGGTGAACTCTGCCGTTAGACGCCGCGGTGACACGGGACATAGGGACCCCAGGTGAGTCCCGACCCTTCCCCTCCCTTAGGACGTTACTCTGTGATGTCACGTAGCAGTGGGCATGTTTCAAACAGGGGAGTCGCCACAGGTGGGCCTCGGTTGTCCAACGTTGTATCCAAACTCACCTCTGGGAGTGTATCTCCCTCCACTCAGTGAGCCAGCCTGGGAAAGGCTCTGGGGTATCAAGGCTTACCCCACTCGGCTCCGGCGCTCTGGCTGGGGTGGGGCCACGGTTTACTCTCCTCTGCCCTGGCACTCCAGTGATGTAGGTAGTGATCCCCGCACTTCCCCTCTCTGGACCAGATCGCAGTGCAGCCTGGAGCCAG